TACAATGATTTTGAGTCTCTCGTAAGTAAGATATCCAAATCAAATAAAATCATTCTTCTTTTTCTTCCAAATTTTTAGTTGAAAGATAAAGAACAGACAAGTATGATTTTACATATCTGCAGTCAGCGTTTTTTTATTTATAATTTTTTTTATTTCAGTTAGGAAAAAAAGAATTGAACTGAGGCATGTCCGCTTGATATTTGAGTTTACTCAATACACTCGAATTTAACAATCTTTGAACTATCAATCTGTCGAGAGATATATACAAAAAAATCATTGATCGATGGAAATTAATACATCGAATATTTGACATTTCTGTTGAAGATTATCTTATCGAATAAATCATTTTAAATGTTTATATCAGGGAAAAACAAGGTAAAACATTGATATCCATCGAATAATATTATCTTCATATATAAACAAGAAAATAAATAAATGTTAAATTTTAAGGTATCCATCTAGAGCATAACTAAAATATAACTGTTATAATAAACTTTATCTCATTGAAATTATAATTTTTTTTTTCTAGTCTTAGGATCGTAGTAGTATATTTCCGTTTTTTCTTCACTTGACAAGAAGTATGGATGTAAATATGAGTGCTATTGATGCGGATATAGTTATGGATGTGCCGGTGTGGATTGCTTCTCGAAAATACACCCACATCTATACTACAGTCCTGCGACCCGACTCGACCGACGGGGGATTGTGGGCAGAACTTTGTCCAGTCAGATATGGGTTAAGTTGGAGATCGCTTACACTTTGAAAAGTATCGGGTTCATGTTATCTTCAAATACCCTAGTGATGGTTCAAACAATTTTGAAATGATTGCATAACTTATTGTTCTTCTATAAAATACAAACAAATCCATTACAACAGAGACAAATCATTGTACTCACATACTTCAAATTAAATGTTAAGTTCTACATGATATTGTCTCAAATAATACTAAGAAATCACAACACTATTGTCCATTTGTTTTTCATCAAACTCTTCAAAAATTTCTAATAATAACATCGGATACAACAGTAATCGAATAAGTATTATTCCATTTGCCTTTGTTATAGACATGTTCTGGGATGAACATAGAAAATAGTTTTTATTTCAACACACTCTATTACAAGAAAATAAGCATTAACAATAGTTTTACTTCGTGTTTTTATTTCCAAACATTTCTATCACTACGACACAGGGGTCATTATTCGAACTATCACTTTTAAATTATGTGATCCTAGTTAATATTTTGAAAAACTTTAATCAGAGTGATCTACTGTGCTATCATCGTTTCTTAGTAAAGATAGAGCTATGAGAATTGATTTCTTACAATTGCATGGTACTATGCTGATTAAATAATCTATGCAAATCATGAAGAATTTGCTGATAGTGTCTGCAAGAATAACAAAGCTCGATATCGTTGTAGAACTAATTAAATCCTCTGGGTGTCATTTTGAAATATATTCCGTACCTTTATGAAAGTTTCAGTTTTTATTCAATAACCATATTCGAAGAAAATAGCTAATCGAACATAGATAAACAAATAAGCTTTTTGCATTCGGTCGGGCGCGAATTCTAAAAGTTGAACTCTCCCAGGACTCTAACTCATACTCTCCCCATATAATTCGAATCTGGTATACACTATTGCTACACCGATTGGTATAATGTTCGCTATACAGGCAGTATAATACTGCTTTTTTTCTGAAAGTGTTATAACATAGTGTATTATATCAAGCCAAGTGAATATTTTTAAAGTCTGTTAAAATTGACAGAATTAAGTCGATTTCTATGTACTCTAATGACATTGATATGTCTGAGCCATCTGTTCTAGCCACAGTGCCCAAACCGACTCCAGTGATGGGGTAAATTTTTATTACAGATGACTCTGAAAAAGTTTTTATTAATAAAAAATATGCTGAAACTGTTTTCTTCTAGGGTTATATTTGAATTCTTTCTAATAAATAAATATCGTTTGAATAAAAAACATTCTTTACAACCGAAAGTTGTAAGTGCTACTGCCAATTCTTATGTGTGCCGCAGTATACTGGTGGCAGTGCGAACAAACGTGCGACATGAATCATTTTCACTGTAAATCTTTTCATATCCTAGTATAATCTAGTAGATTTTTCAGAGTATTGTGGCCTATTGTGAATTCTGTAGCCATCGAAATTTTACAGATTCAATCAGAACGTTGTATCTATCCATTTATTGCATCTTAATGAAAATTAATAACAGAGTATGTTGAGAATTAGTTTGACGTAAAGTCCCTAAAGATTACTGAAAATCAAACTATTTCATTCATATGATTAGCGGTTATCGTGTGACAGTATGAAAAAACAGAGGCAAGATTAAAACACACAGAATCTCACACAACTAGTTTTTTTTAATTTTAATTATTTAAAATTCTAAAAAAGTATTAAAAGTCTTTACGTCGAAAAGACATACATCAAACAAATTAGAGAGCAAACTCTGTCTACATAAGCAAAAGACCAAGAATAAGATTATATTAAACCCCAAGACTTATCGATCGTATAGAAAAAAACATTTAGACTATATGTCATGGAAAAAGAAGGTGAATTTTATCATGAGAAAAAAAGAAATTTCAGCAAACAAATCCAAAGCAAAGTATACGAAACCTGTATACACTACGTATTTCACTCTATATGATCGTATTTCTCTGTATTATATACGAAGAAATATGATCGTGATATGGAGCCGTACAATACGCCAAAGTATCTGACGATTTATGGTCGTTTATAAGCGAACTTGTCCGATCTGAGATAAAATTTATCTCATTACATTGATAAAATTCGATAAGATTCTTCTATACCATTATTCCGAATCCTTGTTATGTACTCCATCTGTTGAGATGCATTATAGGGTATTCCCCTGTCATGATTCATTGCTCTCACTCATTCTGTTTCTCTTTACGATTAATCTTTCCCACTGGGAATTTTTCTATTTCGTCATATGTATGACGCATTTTTTGTCTTATCTTGCTTGATGTATTTCCCTTTCATATCTACTATTGTTGGATTTTTCATCCTCTGTATATTTTTGTATTCATTCATGTTATATAGTGTATCTGGTAAGTCATTAGCAAAAGAGAAATTTGAATATCTCAATCATATCTTGGCCAAATGAGCTGATTTTTTTACTGCTGATAAAGGACTGTTTCTAGTCCATATTCATAAGAATAACGTTGACAGAAACAATTTCGAAGTATCACTTTCGAAATCAATAAGAAGAAATTATCCTCTTACAAATTTCGAAAAACATTATTTACATTTAGAACAATTGTAAGTTGTAAGACACTTTATTTTATCTGATATGAATTTAATCGTGAATATGCCTCTATACTTTAAAAATAGTCTACTTTGACTAGAATATGCTAAAATTATTCAAATTTATTCTTTGCGGTAAATTTAAAGACTACATTGTTCAGAATTCGCATAAGATGATATTCTTTATTGGAGTCACTAGTGATAATTCAGAATACTCTCCATCAACGTTATTCTTATGAACGTGAACTAGGAATAGTCCTCTATCAGTAGTAAAAAAAAATCAGTTCATTCAGTCAAAGAATGGTTGAGATATTCAAATTTCTCTTTAGCTAATGACTTACTGAACACCCTATATATAGTTGCTTAGTAGATGCAAAAAAAAGATATAGAGGTATAGTATATGGATGTGAAAATGGATAAGAAGAGATGTACAGTAAGCTTTTTTCGTACCCTGTACTCAGACTGAGAAAAGCTTTCATACCTTTACCTTACTTTATCCGACTCTACAAAATCTCCACAGTTCTATACGCTTATCCAACCTTGTCAACCATCTACCAAGTCAGACAAAATCAATAAACAACGGTTTTTTACGTGTTGAAATGAGCTCTTATCTGACTGGGTATTCTTATCTTATACTAGGGAATTTTTATCTCACTCTTCTTTAGAACTACTTCAATTGCAAGACTAAAAGTGATAAATAGCACAAATAGTATCATGATTGAGATATCCCAGATAAGATTGTTTTTCTATCCTCTGTTCTGACTGAGAATAGTTTTTCTAATCCTTACCCTATCCTGAAGGGTAAGATACAGTAGGGTAACCCTGCACATCTTTATGTGAGAGTGAGACGTGAAGTTGGATGAGAATGTGAAACTTGGTTGTGAGTGCAGAAAAGACGAACACTTACACCCTCCCACAAGCCCACACTCCAGTTACCATCGTTCCTCATATCTTAACCACACTCTTAAATCTTCCTATCAGTAATAATTTCATCATTGGTTACTTTGGACAGGCTACTAGCGACATCTTCTATGTTAATTTAATATAATCATACAATATATCTTTTTTAGTAAATACTTTCTAAATAAATTAATTTTATCAATAAAAAGTAGAATCATTTCTGTCAATTATTAATATTGTGACACATGGCATCCGAAGTGACCAATCATTTATTTTTATAATGTACTTTTAAAAAGCAAATAAAGATATGAAGATGAGATTAGTACATGTTGGTTGAAAACCGTATTTTTAATGGTCAGTGTACACAGTGGAAGTAAAAAACATAGAATATCTATTGCTTCCGAAACATACACTGCTTAACACTTCTTCCAAAAAGCAGATTGTATGAAGTACACGTTGCAGAAGAAATGAATACTTATCTTTTTTCTATATTAGAAATTATTTTCATTTTCAAAAAATATATTTAAACTACTGATAAATCGTGATCTATCAATTAAAAATTGTATCGATGTTTATTGAAACAATATGAACATTATTTTATTTTTCTTGATACTCTATGAAACTTAGTTTTTCTATACTTAGCCCATGCAAACAAAGTAAAAATGTCTATCTTGTTTTAGATATTAGAAATACTAGTCGAAAAAATAATATGTCAAAATAATCTTATTTGCTGTTTCTACTATAATTAAATTGTTCATAATCTTTTTCTAAATGAATATATATTTTTTAGGTCGGACTGAATCGAGTCTAAATCATTGTAAACGCATGGTAGGCTTTGACGCAAGAAATATAGCTGCGATCGACTTTCTATTTCTTTGTCGAATATGCAGCCTTATTTTACGAGACCCAGTTCAATTGTTATGTGGGCACCGTCAATGCAAATCATGCGTTGAATCAATAGAAGGGTAAAGATACTATTGTCTATTTCATCAGAGTTAAATAGTCGTGGACATTTTTTGAATAACTTTTGATTGGCTCACACTATTGAGCTCGGAGTTTCAGCATTGGAAAGAGCCAGCTCTGAGGCGTCTATCTATATAATATTCATCAAGACCAAAGACATTTTTTTCAAACTGTTTGTGCATCGTTATGTTGTTAATCCTATATTTTGATAAATTTTTATCATAATCTAACCTCGAAATATACTCAATTGTGTAGCCCAAATCGCCCTAATATATGCTGTAAAATTGTTACAACTTAAAGTGATCTCATTGATGAAAGAGGTCATTTAGACTGTCAAAATTATACTATGTACTCAGAGCGATTTGGGCTACAATTTGGTACATTTTGAGGTTAGATTATCATAAAAATTTATGAAAATATAGGGTGAACAACATAACGATGCACAAATCGTTTGAAAAAAAAATTTCTTTGATCTTGATGAATATTATATAGATAGACGCCTTAGAGTTGACTCTCTCCAATGCTGAAATCCCGAACTCAATAGTCTGAGCCAATGATAAGTTATTCAAAAAATGCTTACGGCCATTTAACTCTGAAATTGACTATAGTTTAAATTGTGTTTATGATTTAAATTGACTTTTATATTTTCAAGGGAAACAATAGCATGCCCTGATTGTCAGGAAGCAACACCGAAAAATGAGGTTAATATACGAAGTTTATTTCAATTTAAGTAATATATTTTATTCTTTTAGGTGTTGGTTGACAGGGGTTATAAAAATGATATGCAATCATTGCCTATTGAATGCTCCCTATGTGATTGGAATGGTTTCTTGAGGAATTATGAGGTAATATTGGCATTTGTATAAAAACATTTTACAATCGATAGAGATTTAATGGTTTTCATCTGAGAATTCCGAAACTTGACATTGCTGTGCTTCGCATTTATGTAGTTCTTTGCGAATTTCTTTTTTTACCTATTAGACGTAAGCATCCAAAGTTATCATTTTCGATGGCACTGATCTCGAAAACGAAAAGTTAGAAAACACTGATTCAAACATTAGAATGAAATTTCATAATCGAATCTGTACCAATCGTGGTTTCAATCTTCAATAGGTCATTCGATTTACTTTCAGAAAGCCATCTGAAAAGCAAATTTTTGTGAACTTACGTTGTTTTTTTTTCAAGTTCCGAGACAATAAAAAAAATTGTAATGAATTTCACAATCGTTTCTTTTCATTTTCTTACAGATTTCAAGTAGCTGATATTGATCAAAATGTAAATATAAGGACAAAAACGAACCTATTTCAAATGTATTGTAAAAAGCTTTTAAAGAAAAGTGTTTTTTTTAATGAGATACTCTTCTTTTTTTTTTAACAATTAATATTCGTAGTTTCCCCATCATATTTTGCAATCTCGAATATCATCCAGTTTAAAAAAATCTTAATCATTAAACTAGAATTATGATTTACAAGACGATCTTTTTCTTTTGATAGATTCATAGTGTAAGAACATTTACGATGACGAATAGTTTTGTAATTGATATTATTCAAAAAAATTCCATTGGAAAAAATTTTGTCTTTAGATTTGACAATGACTATTATATATTTTTTTTTTCTAAGGATCATCTACAACAATCTCATCCGAATCCACCATGTAACTATTGTGGAAAGAAATTTAATTCAACGAATGATCTAGACTTTCATAAATTAAAAGAATGTGATAAAATTACTGTACCTTGTGCTCTCAAAGATTATGGATGTTCAAATTCTGTAAGTGATAAAGAATAAATTTCGATGAAAATAATTTTTTTATTTTTTTTATTTCTTACTTATTGTTCTTTTGGTTTTTTTAAGGTTATTCGTGCTGAAATAGTAGTACATTATAAAAGTGAACAACATCAAACTGCAATAATTACTTTCATACGTAGAGTTTTATCAAAATCAATAAATGATCAACATGAGAGAGGCTCGACAATGGATGTTGATACATTACCTCCAACCACTATATCATCTGATAATGCAAATGTCCAATTACAAGAAGTATGTCAAACAATTGATATTCTTGCTGATGGAGTTTCAACATTGAATGAAGATGCACAACGATTAAGTCATGAATCAGTTTATATACGGAATTCTACTGATACATTAAATCGTGATTTTTCAGCATTGAAATTAAGTATTCAAGAACAAAGTATATATTTAGATGGACTTAAACCCAATCAAGATGTTCTTAATCAAGATGTTGCATCATTAAAACAAAAACTTGACGATATGCAATTTGTTTCTTATGATGGTGCATTATTATGGAAAATAACAAATTTTAATGGCAGAATGGGTAAGAATTTTATTAACAAGATTTAATCTTATATAATGAATATATTTATATTCTAGCTGATGCACAATCTGAACGACAAACATCAATCTATTCACCACCATTTTATTCATCACCTACAGGCTATAAAATGAGAGCTCGTCTTTACTTAAATGGAGATGGAAATGCTCGTCGTACACATATGTCACTTTTTTTTGTACTCATGCGAAGTGAATACGATGCTATTCTCAAATTTCCCTTCAATTATAAAGTAACATTTTGTTTATATGATCAAACTCCAACACAACAGCATATCATCGATTCATTTCGACCAGATGCCAAATCAAATAGTTTTCAACGTCCACGATCTGAAATGAATATTGCAAGTGGCATTCCAAAATTTTGTTCATTGTCAACAATTCAACAAGAAGGTAATGTTTATGTTCGAGATGATACAATGTTCATTAAAATTATGGTGGATTTTTGTGATACACCGAAAATATTATTACCATTTGTATTGAACCTTAATCCTGGATTTCCAGTGAATATTCAACAAATATTGATTAAACAAGAAGCAGAAAAACGGACTCAACAAACTTCCACTTCATCAGCTACTTAGTTTGATTCCAGAGCATACAAAGTATAGGTATTATGTAATAAATTTTCTTTATACCATCACTGTGATTTCGTTGTTTGTGATGATGCATATCGCTGAAAATCCATATCCATAAGAACAATCAAATAAATGTAAAAAAAAAACATCATAAATAGCTGCTTGTTTTCCTGTCATGTTAAACAAATTATCGTTTCTCTACTCCTGGTTTTCTTAATCTATTATTTCGCGGTTTTAATTTGTTGTTTAAATTTTTTTTTAAAATTCATCCTTTCCATTAGATGAGTTTTGGTTCATATTTTTCTAAGCATTTTTTATTCATAACTAAAATCTAGATTTAAGAATTTTATCTGTTTAGTAAAGTTTCTTGTTTTAAGTATATGAACAAAAAAAAACATCAATACAAATTTAAAATTTATATTTTACTGATGTTTGAATACTTCGATCAAGAATCCTTACTAAAAACAAGAGGGTTTATTAATTCATAAACTTTCTTTTTATTTTAAACCTAGATTTTGTTTTGAAATATTCTAAACTAAACTATTTTTGAAACGTGTAAATTTCAACTTAGCTAATTTAACATTTTATAATTTATTAGGTGGTTTTAGGATGCCGGTGCAATGCGAAATTTGAGCAAAATTTTTTTTCATCATGGTTGAATAGAACTCGTCGAGTTTATCTCTAAGAATGTTGTTTTTGACATATTCAGACTATGTTTTATCTAGTAAAACTTAGAAAAATGAGGTTCAAATTGAAATACATCAAAAAAACATAAAGTTTTAGTATTTTCAAAGTTTATCCAAAAAATTTTTTTGATTTGAATAGGATAAAAGCACATAGTAAATACGGATTCGTATTTTGAGATTTTGATCATGAGAACTTCAGTTTCAACAGAAACGAATATCATATTCAGAATCAGCACAAAAATTTGCATCGAATAATATATTCAATACTTAAAACTAATTTTCGTGAAATTTCAGTTCTTACATCCCTCTAGTATGCATAAGAAACATTTCTATCGAATCCATGAACATGACTTATTTTCTGTTAAAAGTGATTTTTTTTTTGTAATAGAAATATTAGCTTCTTCTACTCAAAAATAAGATTGATGAAAAAAAACCCATCTGTGATGGAAAATCCCTAAGGGTAACTCTAAACCCTAAACTCCTATGAAAAAACTTTCTTATTAACCCTCGAACGCTCTTTGGGAGTCCCACTGGATCACATAATGTCATTTTTCTTTTTTTCTTACGTTAACAGGAATTCTTTTTTCGAACGATCTCTTTTCCTATTGTTAGCCTCTAACAATTAGAAAAACGATCGCTCGGAAAAGGCTTCCCTTTAACGGGAAAAAAACGAAAGATGACATTATGCGGGTTCGGTCGGACCCGCAAAAAGTGCTCGACGGTTAAAATGCTTCTGTGACAAAGCAATTGTAAAAAATCTATAAAAATGAAGAGTTTCAGAAAACTTGTATCTCAGTCCAGAAGTATTTGCGCTAACTAAGTGTATTGTCTTAGATATGGAAGAATATTCTCTGAAAGTTTTCTCGATATTGGACTAGTGGAAAAAGTAGTGGTCAACTTTACTAAAGACGTTTTTTTTCGGAAGACGAATAATTATTTTTTCAGAATGAAAACTTCTCTTATAAATTAATAGAACAGAAGTTCTAGATTCATACTATATATGATTGACTAGTAAGAAACCCGTGGTTTCACTTCAGTTTGTTCAAATGAAAGAGTAGGCTTGGTCCTTTAATTTTAATTTAAAAGTTAAAGCTGTAATCGTTGCGATTGATTATTATTCTAGCAGTTGATCAGTGCAAATGTTGCGTTATATACCTTGTCCACGCAATGTTTGAGGACGTTCTAGAACGTTCCTGTTCTAGAAAATTCCAAGAATTTTTTAACATTTAGCCTTCGAGCAGGCAAGATAAGACTTCACAGAAAATTCCATAAGATTCTACAATATTTATCCTTTAAACTTTGACTTGGTAGCAGAGGGATAGACAACCGTGTTTTATTATAGAGGTATGGATAGTGCAACTCTTTAGTTGTCACAAAAAAAATGATGTTTTTCTTTAAAGGTGCTGAAATTTGATTTTTGTTTTTGTAAATAAGTTTTTCCAACGAATTTAGCAACTAGGACGAAATTCTTTTTTTACCAAAAAACTGATCATTAATTCTTTCGAATATTTTGACCTGTACACTTCTTCTAAGGTCGAAATGTGAAGAAAATTAGTTTTAAGTATTAAGTATACATTCGATACAGATTTTTGCGCTGATTCTGAGTATGATGATTGTTTCTTTCAAAATTGAAGTTCTGATAATAAAAATCTCGAAATACGAATTCCTATTTATGGTACCTCGTTATCATACTGATGAGATCAATTTTCTCAACAAATTAAATAATATTTATCAAAAATTATGCATCATTTTGTTCTAACTATATGATGAAAAAAAGCAAAAAATGATTTCAAATAAGTTTTGAGACTATCGAGAATCTATGTTTTTGATATATTTCAATTTGAATCTAATTCTTCTAAGTTTCCCTAGAAAAATATCGTTTCAATATGTTAAAAATAATATTTTTAAAGATAACTTGACAAGCTCTATTCAATCATGACAAAAAAAAACAAAATTTTTACACAATTTTCCAACTGCTACCGTCTCACTTTTGTTCTATTATTAGTCTATATTTGTACTTCTTTCTATTGATTGTGTTAATGGTTTATTCATTTTGATTCATGATTCTATAAATCAATATTTTCAATTAATTGTTTTTTTTAATGTATTATTTACATTTTGGGATGAAACATTTCTATTTATTCTTGAAATAATTATGTTATTGATGCATTTTGTTTTCTTTATTATATTCAATAAAAAATAGACAAAAACTAGAAAATCAATTTTTTTGTTCTTCTTGTATATCTAGAATATTTTGAAATATTATTTTATTGATTATTCAAATAAAATTTTCTAATAATATTCAATAGATCGATAAATTTTACATGATTTTTATCGAATTATAAAAGAAAGTATTCAAATATATTTTATATATAAATATTCTGTTAAGAAATAATAATATATTTTACACTTTGTTACTATCAAATTCAAAGTATAATATAACAAATCTCCGAATGATTTTTATCTGATTTTGTAAGACATGTAAATCAAATTGTTTGTATACGAATCACCTATGATGCAATGAGAATTGGAATTTTCATACTACTCTCCATTACACAAAAATAAAACTAACGTCTCATTTCATTTGATAAATCATAGTTCTCTAGTAAAACGATAATTCATTAAATCGACATTAATCAATAATAATCTTTAGTTCATTAAGAAAAGAAGTTTTTGATTGTTGAATTAATGAGAAAAATACAAAAAAAAAAGTTGTAATAAGTTTTCTATTTAATTATTTTAAATTTAAAGTTTGCCAAAAGTAATGATTGGCAAATAATTATGATGAAAAATTTACTTCTTACTTTTGCAAACATTGACATTTAGTCTAACATATTTTATTAATGTACTATATATATAGTTTTTTTTTTCTCAAACTTTCATCAATTAGATTTTTGGAATCTAAATCGAAAGAAAAAATAACGAAAAAATTTGAAGAGGCTTTTTTTTCTTTATGTTGTTCGAAAAATAAGTCAAAAAATGTATTACGTAATACTACTTAGAAAACCTTTTTTTTTTGATTTTATTGATACGAAAATCGTATATTCTTCCTATGATATGTTTTCTTTTTATAGTTTCACTGTTATCATATGGATGATGTAAAATCAATCATTATTATAATCACGAATAGTTCAAAGATTTCTTTATTTACTTTTCTTTAATTGTTTTTAAATAGAAACGAATTGCTTGATTTTTCAGTTGTAAATCTCCAACTAATACTAATGACTCAAGATGATATTAAAACCTTTTTTTCTTTTGTTCAATACCGATGTTGATCAATTGATTTAATTAATATTTGATTTTTCTTTTTCTTCAAATATATAATTTACACAAATTAACTCATATTCATTGTATATGATCATATCACCGATACAAATCATATTAAAATTTTTCAGAAGTATATAAAATAGTTTTAGTATTTGGTTGCATAAACAGAAATCCTAAAAATACAAATGGTGATATGTTTATAAATTTCACTAAAACTTTTTCTAATAGATTTAAACGAATAATTATTGATATTACTAAATAGAATACGTCACAAAATTATAAGGATAAAATGAAGTTATCTTTTGATGACGCATTGACTATTAAGTAAATATCTATGATAGCATTTTTTTTTCCTTTTTTCTTTCTCTCGATCGTTTCAATTTGTTGTCTAAAGAATTAATTCATTGACGCAAAATGAAAAAGATTTATAATTATGCGTATATATTTTTACAATGAGCATTGACGTCAATTTGTTTGTTAAAGCCCACCAAGTACGGAATTCTTAACTCAATACATACATATATAGAGAGAGAGAGCCCTTGCATTGTGTCATCAACTTTACGTATTAAGAGTTAAGTTTTATTTTTGTATGAATGAAGTACGTAGTTTTAATATGATTGAATAATTATTACTGACGATGTTACGATTGATTTTAAATCGATTTATTAAATAAGTCTTGTAAAAATTAAATCTAGATATCTTGTGAAAAATCTTACGAACAGTTATTTCTATTTGAGAGGTTTCTTATTGTATCATATAAATTACATTTTTTAAGTATATATATTTTTTTAATTTTCGGAATAATAAATACTAGAACAAACATTTCAAATATCAGTCGTTAATAATAATAATTTTTTCTAAACTATATAATATACGAAATAACATATTCTACATACTTCTAAAATTCTATTCTTTTATTGACAGTGTGTTCTTCCATACATGTTAAAAGATCCAATTCAGCTAACTAGATGTCATCATCAACACTATTAATTTTACTAATTCAATACAGATCAAAACAAATATGAAAATCTTCATTCGGATTCGACTTACATTGTTACAGAACAATAATATTCTTATTTTCGCACATAGTATCTACTACTGTAGTCAACAATCTGGTTTGCATTCTTTTTCTTTTTCTTCCTTTTTTTCAATTTAACTATTCATAGTAGTTCTACATCATAGTCGTAAAATGTGTATGCAATTACTAGTTTTTCTTCGATAAAAGTACTCGTTTATGCATCATCTCGTCATTGGTAAAAATGATGACATAATAGAGAGGGGAGGGGTGTGAGAAGCAGTTTCGAGTTTCTCTTCATTCTGACTTCAATCATAGTCACAACCATACTGTCGCACCCACGACCATCACTATATCCCACACCCTAGACTATCGCTAGAGAAAGTTTTTGTCATGTTTTCATTCTGAAAATTTCCCAACCACTAAAACCCTTCTATATTCCTTGTCTGTGTTTTTCTTCTGCCATTGTAGAATCTCAAATAGAGATAAATTATATTCAAAGAAAAGTTTTCGATTATCTATTACGTATATAAAAATGAATTACAAATATTTAAAATTAGTTGTTGTTAGTATAAAGTTTTGTTTTGCATCACCATCTGATGATTGAAAATCCACTCATATACTAGTCAATATTTCATGTAGAAGTTAATGATTTAACATATTTTATTCATCAAATTCGCTCTTCTTCGATAGTGAAGATAAAGATAATGAGTATGAGACTATTTGCTTCAATCTCAAAGATTCGTTACCCTCACATCATATCATAAATGTTTATCGCATTGTTAGGAGCGCGATAATCAGAAGTTTCTTGAAGAACCATTATTACATGGTAGAAACGTGGAAAATGTTTTAAGGATACTATCATGACAGCAGCGCGATGATAGTAGCTTTTGTTTTGAAGAATATTGAAAAATTTTTATAAATTTTTACAGAAGTCTAGTGTCAGCAAGTGTAACACTATGAGACTTGATGAATCTCAAGGATTAATAAGAACAATTCTAGCTCAGTATAATTTCAGTAGTGAAGTTCGAAACATTTTTTTTTTGAATATCAGCACAAAATTGGAGACTCTTTATGGTTCATCATGACGAACTAGAATTAGTTTTTGGATGCGATGAACATCTCAGTACCCTATTAGAAGTTTTCGAGTGAGATATGTTTCATATATTATTATCTAGAGAGCGAATAATGTTATTATGAAGCAATAATCAAACAAAATAGTTGCTTGTTTATGTCATTAACAAAATAAAAATATTGTTTTTTATTTATATAATTCTTTGTGAGTAATTTTTCTGCATTGAGATTAACAATGATACTTGAGAACAATGATGATAAATGTTTTTATAATAAATATAAATATGAATTCTTAACATACTTAACTCATTTGCTGAAATCATATCAAAGAAATTCTAGTTTCCTATTCAATCTACCTTTGTAATTTACACATCGTACATTTATCTTTAGTAATAGTATCGTAAGTGTTTTTTTATTATAATCTGGTAGAAAAATATGTATTTGTGTTGTTTTTATTTATAGACAATGAAGTTTCTTTTGATGAAACTAATCAATACAGTGAAGTGAATCAATACCAAAATAAATATAAAACAATCAATCATTCGTGGGAAAAAATATAAAAAAAAATTCTCTATACTAATATTCTTATTATGCGATAATTCAATCATTTTTTTAATATGATTCAACTAAATTTAGAGAAAAGTTTTGATGTGTCTATTAACGTTTCAATTGATTTTTATTAATAATGATTTATTTACAATCGCAATTTTCATCAATGCATTGACAATGAATTCAAAGTTTGATTAAATAGTAAGAAATGAATCTATTTCGAATTCCTCATTATTTTTTATTTTGAAAATTTCAAATCCTTATCATATTATAATACTAATTTGTGATTTCTAGATATATTATTTATTATATCTTTTTATTTCAAAAAATTTATTTTTATTCATTCATTTATTTAAAAAAAGTAATCTATTTTTTAGTTGTCTTTGACATTTCTGAAAATTTTCTTCTATTTATACATCGATCAACGAAAAAAATTCAAAATAATGGTAGGCATCGGTGCAAGAAATAAAAATACTCTTGATATGAAATTTATTTGTCCTGTATGTTCATTGATACTACGAGATCCTATACAATTGACTCAATGTGGTCATCGATATTGTCGAACATGTTTAAATGCTGGACAAGAGTATGTTTCATTATCAATTTGAAGTGTTATTCTTCATTGTTTTTTTGTTTTTGCAGAACGACAATTAAATGTCGACAATGTCAAGCAGATACAACACAAAGTGAGGTATGATATCTTTTCATAATTAAAGAGAAAATAATATTTCTTTTGTATAGATACGGATTGATCGAGGCTTCAAAAATGATATGAAATCCCTACCCATTGATTGTTATTTTTGTCAGTGGACTGGTATCTTAAATAACTATCAAGTAATTTATTTTATATTTATTTTATTGTTGAATCTTCTTTCCTTTTATGTTCCAAAGGAACATCTCAATCAATCTCATTCAAATCTTAAATGTGATTATTTTGGTGAACAGTTCAATTCAGTTAATAATTTCAATGAACATAAAGTCTTCGAATGTCAACAACTGATTGTTGACTGTATATTGAAAGATTTTGGTTGTAATGAACGAGTATAAATATTCTCTAGATGAAATTGACATCAGAAAATTCCTATTCTTTAGATTATCCATGATAAAATGGAAAATCATTATTTGACTGAACAACATCAACAAACATCGCAATTAAATGATAGACAAATAGATTTTGATTCTTCTCTATTTACAGATGCAAGAGCTTGTAATACTGACACAGCTCAATTGAAAGAGGTTAACGAAAGGCTCAATATGTGGGTAGGTGGCATCGAAATATTGACCAATGATGAACAATATCTAGCCCATGACTTACTTCAAATGTCAATTACACTTTCAACATTGACAGAAGAGTCCTCAAATGTTAAATTATCCATTGAAGAATCAAATGCTTTTTTGAGAGGAGTAAAACATAATCAAGATTTATCATTAGTGCAAGAAAATATCGATGATTTGCAACATGTTTCATATGATGGATGATTTGTTGGGAAAATCGATCGGATACGAATATAGTCGGTGGTATACCAAAATTTATTCCATTGGAAATGATTCAACAGGAAGGAAATCCGTATGTACGCGACGATACAATGTTCATCAAAATTATGGTTGATTTTCAGGAAATACCAAATACATTGTTGTCCTATGCTTTGAGTCTCAATCCAGGATTACCAACGTATGTTCAACAAGCAATGATCAAGCAAGAAGTGAAGAGAAGGCTTAGACAACAATGCCAAGATTCGAATGAAATCAAAGGAATACAATTGAGCTGCGAAGAAACTATTCAATAAGAAAAGAGTAGTTTAATATGTTGAACTGGATTCTATGAAGATTGTGTTTCTGGACAAGATGTTTCTTCATTCTTCTATCAATTAAAATAGATACAGCAGACATTTTATATCACTCAGTTAGTATGATAATTTTTTTTTAATTCTTTTGGATCCAATGCTCATAATTTTTGTGAGACTCATAATTCAGGAGTGTTTTGAACGAATCATTGGAAGGTCTGAAAATAAATTTTGAATAAATTTCAATGTGCTAAAACGAAGACGTCCAGAGTGGACGTAAAATTTATTCCTAATATGTCCAAATAAAAATGCTATTAGCGCAACTCTTGCGGAATTAGAATGTGAAACATGATGTAACTGTTGCTACTAATCATGAAAATATTGTTTTATTCGATCTATCTTAGAATCTATTTTTTCATAGTCTTTTAATCGTGTATTAAAAACGTTTGTTACAATCTGTGGTGGGGAGAGGGGGGAAAGGAGAGATGGGTCCAAATTTTTACCCCTATACACTTTAACATTTCGTTTAGGTCGTGTTTCACAAAAGAGCAAACATTTCTCTCGAGAACAATAGCCAGATCATTGATTTTCAAACTTTCCAAAAGAACTGAATCATTTCGGTAGCATTACTGTGAGTTTCTCGATTCTGAGCTCACTTTGTAGAGAATCATCTCGTTCTTAACGCTGTGCGAAAAATCAGTAATAGAAAGCATTTAATAATGGATATTATTGCTAAGAAAGATCTATATTGTCTACGTGCTGATTCGAAAAATTTGACAATGTGATGTACTCCAACGAAAGAAAGTGCCGAGAAAAGTAGCATGAAATGAATTTCAAAAGAAATACGATCATATATCCCTTCTCTGAATCTGTTCGATAATAACTATTAACTTATGAGTTCCACGAAAAATATTGAGCATCAAATGGGAACAAGAACAAAATTCTAATTTTAACTCATTGCTCCAATATTCCTGCTAAATTTCCTTTACCGATCGAAAAATGACAAAAGCATTTTGTTCAGAAACTCTCGGCTCAATCTTCAGCCAAGTATTATTCTCTTTTTAAATATTTACGTAGTTTGTAAATTTAACCAGGCTTAAAATATATCCTCTGGCTTGAAAACCTAGCAATAAAAAAGCTAATATTCAATAATATAATCTATATATAATGAGTTCATAAGAGATTCTCTGCTTAATAATCGTAAGGTCTTATTGATAATACATTGTCATGATTTGAAATAATCTTAACAAAATACTTTATAGTCCTTTTGGTTAAGCAACGAAGTCGAATATTTTATCTCATTTAATTTATCAAATCATCCATCACAAAAGTACGCTGTGCCAATGAGCATAGCATTTGATGTTATATCTCTCCTTTCTCTGTATGTTGTTATACAATTGATATTACTATGCATAATAACGTCAATATTATGCTTATCTATGGATGATTGAGCCTCGTTCTCTTTGTTTTATAACGTGCTTCTCATATTTTATCTTGTTTCTCTCACCTCTCTCGTGTATATAGGCTTGTACTTTATGTGAGATAAACACAACTGGATGACGGAGTAGCGGAGTGAATATCGTATACTAAGGATAGTGATAACACTATTTCTCAAGTTTTGTCATTGTGATCATAATAAAATAAAGGCTGCAGCAGTAACGAAATAGTCTATCCTCTCTTTTCCGTTACACATATATTGTCCTTGTGTGAATTGTGATTACTCCTGTGAGGTTTATTATAAAAATTATTACATGAAGCAATTCTTTCTAATCAAACTAAAAATACACTTCATTTTATTTCTAATAGATTATTGATAAATGAATAATTTCTATCAACATTTCACTCTGATGATAATTATGTTTAATCGAAAAAAGTAGATTTGAAAAGTCAATCTGATTAATCGAATTCTATTCCAAGTTCTTCCGAAAGTCGTTCAATATTCGATTTCATCATCCATAGATCATTATGCCAGGAAGGTAGACATTGTCTGTAGATAACTAATGCTTGTTGATAATAATCGAGTGCCAATGTAGGTTTATCAAGGTTTTCGTAAATTTCACCTATATTTGATAAACTATGGCCTATGTTCTCATGATATGGTGGTAGAACTTTAAGACGCATTAAGAAACAATTATGCTCATATATAAGAGAGAGTTCATATTCACCTCTGCTTCTTTGTACTTGTGATAAAGACTCAAGTATGGTAGCAATGGATAGATCTTTTGATGATAAATTGGTTTCTTTAATTAATAAACATCTGCGCAAATATTCAATAGCAAGATCGAACTGAAAATTTCTATTGAAGTTAGCAGCGATCCAATATAGGCAATGAGCAATTTCAACATGATCATTGGAATAATATTCTTCGAATATGATCAATGCTTGTTGGTAAAAGTTGAGAGATTCATCATATTTTGTTTGCGTAAACAGAGTACTACCAATGTTCTTGAGACTGTTAGCAATTCTGAATTGATCATTAGATGAGTTACTTTTAAGAAATGCCAACGCTTGTTGTTGCAAATCCAATGCCTCATCATATTTTCTTTGATTTTTTAAAATTTGAGCTATGTTATTCAGACAAGTAGCGGTATTCGAATGATTGGATGAATCCTTCTTGTCAAATTTTAGTGCTCGATAATAAAAATCGAGAGCTTCATCATATTTTTCTTGATTACTCAGTATATAACCAATACAACTCAAACAAATAGAAAGATTTGTATGACCAGATGGATAATGTTGCTCATAAATTGTCATTGCTCGTTGACAGAAATCGAGAGCTTCATCATACTTGCTTTGCATATTTAGGGTAATACTGATACATCGAAGACTCTCAGCAATATCAACATGACCACATGGATAGCCGTTTTCGAGGATTGTTAAAGCTTGTTGATAATAGTCGAGTGCTAAATCGTATTCTCCTTGATCAAATCGAATGTGAGCAATGCGATTCAAGCTATCCGCAATAATCTCATGATGAGAGGAATACGTTTTTGCTCGAATTGTCAATGCTCTCTGTTGAAATTCAATGGCTTCTATGTAATTTTCTTGTTTTCTCAGAACATCAGCAATATTGATAAGACCATTAGCAATATCAATAGGATTCGATGGACAACATTCTTCATAGATTCTCAGCGCTCGTTGATAGAACTTGAGAGCTTCATCATATTTTCTTTGTATAGTCACAATCTTAGCAATGTTGCACAAACTATAAGCAATGTTCACATGATTAGAAGGATAATGGTGTTCTCGTATCATTAATGCTTGTTGTTGGAACTCGATAGCTTCATTGTACTTTTCTTGATCTCTTAGAACATTGGCGATATTTATCAGGCTATCAGTAATGCCAACATGATTAGTTGTATCAAATTTCTCTCGAACTGTTAATGCTCGTTGATTGAAGTTAAGAGCTTCATCATACTTTCTTTGCTTATACAGAGCATTGGCAATATTGCTAAGAACGGTAGCGATACCAGCATAACCAAATGGATGGAATTTCTCTCGAATAGTTAATGATCGTTGATAGAAATCAATAGCTTCATTATATTTCTCTTGGCTATATAGCACATGACCAATAGAGTTCAGGCTCTTTGCGACGTCGACATGAGCAAATTCATAATGTTTTTCTTGAATAGCCAAACCTTTTTGAAAAACCTTAAGAGCTTCATCGCACTTGTTTTGTTCATATAGAGTGTTGCCAATAAAGTTGAAAGTATGAGAAATATCTATGTGACCATCAGGATAGAAGTTCTCTTGCATTGAAAGTGCACGTCGATAATAGTCAATTGCTGCATCATACTTTCTTTCGTCGTACAGAATATGACCGATACGATTGATAGTATCAGCTATGAAGATACTACCTGGTGGATAATATTTCTCTTGAATTTCTAATGCTTTTTGATGATATTCAATAGCTTTATCGAATTTTTGTTGGTGACGAAATGTTGTGCCAATATTAATGAGGGTTGTCGCAATATCTACATGATCATTTGGATAATACTTCTCTTGCATTTTGAGTGCACGTTGATAAAACATCAAAGTTTCATCGTATTTTTTCTGTCCAATGAGAACATTACCGATGTAATTGAGAGTATTGGCTATCTCACGTTGACAAGATAAACAATATTTTTCTTGCATTTCAAGTGCTCTTCGATGATAATCAAGAGCTTCATCATACTGTTCTTGTTTGCATAATATGATTCCAATATTGTTCATATAAAAAGCAATGGAAGAATGATCAGATGGACTGTGTTTTTCAATAGTTGCTAGTGCTCGTCGAAGAAAATCAACAGCTTCATTGTATTTTCCTTGCTTATCTAAGACGTTGCCAATGTTGCTGAGACTCAAGGCCATTACGGCATTACCCGAAGGATAATAGCTTTCTTGCATCGTTAACGCTCGTTGACAATAACGTAGAGCTTCATCATATTTTGATTGGCAAAATAGTACACCAAAGATGTAATTGTGAGTGTTAGCGATATTAGCATAATAAGATGGATAATATTTCTTTTGAAGTGCTAATGCTTGTTGATGAAAATCAAGAGATTCATCATACTTTCCTTTTTCTTTTTTTATATAGCCAATGTTGTTTAGAATACAAATAATATCGTCATGACCAGGAAAATAATATTTCTGTAGACTTTTCAGTACTTGTTCCTGAAATGCAATGGCTTTATCATATTGTCCTTGTTCATAATGAACATTTCCTATTCCACAAAGAGTACGAGCTATATCGGCATGACCAGATGGATAACGTTTTTGTTGCATTGCCAATGCTCGTTCATATATCTTCAGAGCTTCATCATGTTTACCTTCGAGATAGAGAATATAACCGATGTAGTTGAAGGTGGAAGCCATGTTTACATGACCATTTGGATAATATCTTGCATAGATTGACATTGCTCGTTGACAGAAATCGAGCGCTTCATCATACTTCGCTTGATATGTAAGAACCTGACCAATGTAGGCAAGACTAACAGCGATATCGATATGAGAACATTGATAATATTCTTCGAGCATTGCAAGTGCTTGTTTATGAAAGATAAGTGCTTCATCATACTTGACTTGTCGAAAGAGAATTTTACCAAAGCTACGGAGACTAGCAGCAATAGGGACATGACCATCCAGGTGAGTCACGCTCAACTGTAACCAACCAGTTTCCTGTAAGTTTCGACATATTTCTTGTAACTGAGTTTTTTTTGAATGCTCATTAACAAGTTCTATTCTGTTTGCTGCATATTTCGAGCGGAACCAACGAAAAATTCCTAGGAAGTATATAGTCCAAAACCATCCGGAATATGATTGAAAGAATCCGCCTGAATTCAATAAAATTGACCAGAATGGTGCCCAAACACGACTTAACAAACAATTGTGTTGGCGATTCAATGGACAAGGTCTATCAACTTTTGTAGAAGAATAATATTCGTTTCGCATTGCAAATGCTTGTTCATAATAATCACGAGCTTCTTCGTACTTTCCTTCTAGATAGAGAATTTCACCAATATTGAAGAGAATATTAGCTGAATCCTTAATTCGTGTTGGTTTCATATTCATTATCCGACTATACGTACGATCATAGTATTTACGTGCTTCACTCCATTCACCTTTCCATTGAAGAATCTCACCAAGACTATATTCAATCTTTGCGAGATCTTCATTGTTGTTATTTGAGTTGTTCAATAAATGTTGAAAGAAGTGTTGTGATTGATTCCATTGGCCCATATCACACATCAATCGTCCAAAGAGATTTGTGATGCTTAGATCTTCTATTTGTCGATATGAGTCTTTGATATATTTTTCTTTGATAATTTGACCTTCATTTGATGCACTCATTTTAATCAACCATATGTCTTCTTTCAGTGTAACATTCTCTAATCGAAAAGTGACATTTGAATCGAAGATAATTTCTTCTTGTTCTTCATATGGTAATTCACTGAAATGAAAGCTGTCAGTAATAATAACATTGTTGTTCAGATGTTGTAGATCGCATTGAATTTCTATGAGAACAGAAATGAGATCAGTTTGTTTCGAAGATTTCATCGCTTGTTTTAATGCAGTTGAACGAAGCACATTTGTTGTGAAAAATTCATTGATTGAAACGAGTTTACCTTCGTTCTCTTTGAATTTTTCGATTTGATCACTTCTCAATTTCATTCCACGATACATGAATAATTTGTCTTTACCAGATTGAATAATCTTTTGATATTCTCGAACGAGACTTTCCGTTAGATCTTTCATAAAATACCGAAATATGTAGAGTTGATCGAAATCTTTGATTCTTAATGCTTTTCTGATAATTTTGTAGAGAAAGGATTTTTTCAAATACCATTTAAGAGCTTGTTCTGATCGATATTCATTTTCAAACTTCTTAATCATTTCCAATTCTTTGATATTGTTTCGATAATAGTAACAACATACATCGATCATTTCTTGTTTAGCTTCCTCATCGTGTGTTAACTCAAACAGAACATCATGATAAAGTTGAAACCAAAGAAGATCAGCAGTTTGTTTTGACAGATCTTTTATCAAATGTTCATCTTCATCAAAGAAGCTAAATGTTTGTAAATGTTGATCGAGAAAATCGATTTGTTCTTGAATTGATAAACACAATAAATTGAGTTCATCATAGATACCAATAAGTTTTGAATATTCAAGAACTAAATGTTCACTATCGACTTTTTCCCAGTTGAAGATAAAGATGCTGTCAATTTGAGATAGAGTCGTAATATGAGGTAATATTTGTGATACATCATAAATTGAAGAGACGAAAATAATTTTTTCATTATAAATCGATTGAATAAAACTAATACAAGATTCGACTTGAGTATGCAATACAACATAATCATTGATTTGATGTAATTGTTTTTTTGTTTGTTCTGTATGATTATTAGATTCCATCTTGGAATCGAACCAAATCAGAGTGATGTCCTCTTTGTTGTTAGTTCTGTTCATCATTTTCGATGAATTTTTCAGAATAATGAAAGATGTTGCAATGGATGATAAAAGCACTGAGATAGTTGTTCAAGTGAAATGTCAACCAGCGACTATAATAAGAAAACAATTGACTTTAAATCTTGCAATAATGAAAAAAAAAATCAGTAAATTTTCATGATACAAGAAATGTGTGAGTGTTCAGGTCATTCACCGTGTCATCAGCATCGGTGGATTATATTGAATTCCGAGCGATTTTTGACTCGAAATATTTTGTTATATTATTGACTAAGTAGTTCTGCTCCAAAAAAAATTGATAGAAGAAAGGAATCAGTCAGAGGAATAATGGATGGAATTCGGTTACAGCATATTAGAAAGTGCCGCGATTGTCTTAGAACATTATAAAAAGATTTAATCAATTTTCTAAGAACGTAATTTAATATTCATGACGACATATTCAAGAAAACTAGAAGAAATATTTTTGTCCAAGAGTAAGGACAATTCTGTGTAAGTACGATAATTAGAGATACAAGCATTTTGGACAATTACTTCTAGCATTACTACGACACTTAGTATTTCAGTAGATAAGACTTGCCTACGAAGTTGAAAGATACAGGATTTGAATCACAACAAAAACCATCCATTCGTGTTAATGAGAGAATAAGTAAGCAACGAAGAAAGAAGCAATTACTGTCGTCTCTCCATGTGACTTCACTTACCTCATAAAATGAGACTAGTAGAATGAGTGATGATATTTAAGTATGCGTATTGATCGGCTATAGGACGCATATACCATCGATAAGAAGTGACTATTTTTTTTTTCAACAACCATGTGTTTATGTGTATAAAAGAAGTATTTTTTCTTTCACAACGTGAATAGGCTACGTAACAGGGATGCGTCACACTATTGATTCTATTCTATTCTTGTGCAATATCAATCCTCTCTCCTTCTCTTATTCATTTTCTACCTTTATGCGCATCGTAATTTTTTTCAAACGCATAACGATATATCTTTGTGAGCACTATATTTCTTTCAAAAATTTTAAAAAAAATAAGTCGTAAGATTTTAAGCTTGAGCAGCTAATCATGTAGGAAATTAGTAGAATTAGTATTAATTGTTATTCATTTTAGTCATTGACATCATTGTTGAAGGATATACAGATTTCATGTGTGTACGAGATATTTTCGATTGTATTTTCATAAAAGAGAAACACTGTACTAAGAGTAGATTGATCTGTGAATTAAATCGTGTGATTTGAATTAAACTAAATAAGAAAAATAAAGTGCAGAAGAGTATGTGAAAATAACTTCATCGAGACTCATCACTTAAACATATTGCTGAATAATTAACAGTGTCTCACAAAATGAGTACATGTCTTGCTCAACCTTGTATGCTACATATAATTTGTATTCATAATGACCATTAGTAATTCGATTCTTTCCATACTATTATTGGCTTATTCAGTTCAAGTAAATCAATTTAAAGATTTTTTTTATTTCGCGTATTATTTGTTTTATATTTACATGTGTCATCGATTTGGCAAATATATGAATTTATTTTTATAATGATGATGTAAATGCCTCTGTATTATTTTTAAATACTTATATTTCATTAACTATGATTGTCGTTTTTTTT